AATGATAATTAAAACATAAAATTAGAAAGTAAAATTAGATAAAAAGAAGGTAATTAGAAAGTAAATAATCAGTTTTAATTAAAAAGTAAATGTTACTTATAAAGTAAATGGTAATTTAAAAAAAAATGATAAATTAAAAGCAAATGATCATTTGTGTTTTTAGAGTGATATGAAATGTTTATAGTTGTTTATAAGCTGACATGTATTGTTCATGGTTATCTCCTGTTGTTCATGGTTATCTCATGTTGTTCATGGTTATCTCATGTTTAAAACAAAACTTGACACATAAATGTCATGAGGACAGTAAAAACTGAGCTGGGTGCTGAGGACCTGCTTTGACCCATTATACACAAATATCACAGCATTATCACCAATCAACACTGATTAAAATCCATTATCAGTAATTCTCTGATCAATACACCTCCCGACAAACAATTGTTATCATAATATTGTGTGGTTGCTGATGTGTTTGGAATTCAACATCGGGAACTCTTTAGCAAAGGAGGTTAAAATACAAGGTCAAAGTAGCTTACATTAGGGCATTGTAACCTTTAGGTATTAAAGGCCAAGATAAGACGGGATACTGACACTTAACACCCAAAAAACACATTTATATGGAATTGTATGCTTTCTGTAGCCATTCACAGACCAGCCTTCAACAATAAGCTCTGGCAGGTCGTGTTGTGTAGAGCAAACAGATGGAAATTAATGCTTACTTATCTTTCCTGACAAAGCCATAGAAAGTCATTATCACACATAAACCAAGATATTGTATTATTTATTATGTGGAGAAATCTGTTGGGTAGCAGGCGGAAACCTCCTGGTTATAAGTATTGCTGTATTGACAAGTCCTCCTCAATTAACAAGTAAAACTATGCCTACATGAAAAAAGGAAAACAGTTTCTGGTTTTATTACATGTATTTGTTGTATAAAGCTGTTGTCAACTGTTCTTTATGACATGTTTGTCTATAAATGATTTTTTTCACAACAGAAAAGTTCAGGTTTTTATATACCTGCATTAGTCAATGTTTGTTTGATTTACTTCCCCGTGAACAGTCATTTTGCGATGGAGTCTCCTTGTAATGGCTGGTTGATGCTTTACTGAACCACATACAGAAGTCTCCTCAAATGCCATCTAGAGATATAAGGGTTAAGTGTGTTGCCCAAGGGCACAACCATGCAACACAGAGATGGTGTGTTTCTCAGCTTCTTCTTCAGAAACACAAACCACCAGGAATAGGAATTGTTGAACTTCAAAATTCGGACCTTTACCAGATGTTACATCAGCTAGGGTCCTAACTGACTGAGTTATTGCGGCCACCTTTAGTTGAGACCACCTTAAATTTTTTCTATTACAGTTTAATAAAAGTACTAACAAATGTTATTTTCTTGTCCTGCATCCTACTACAAGTTTTTGTTGGTACCCTGGGCTTACAGTTCATCTGGCCTATTTAAGAGCCAAGCGAGGTCATGCTGTAGTGCAGTATCAGTTGTCCATTAATTAGTCTTTGAATAACTCCTGAAGATCCAGTTGGTGTGAAGTCATGATTTCTTCTCATACATTCTGGAGAAAAAGCTAAGTTTTAAGAAAAAATTATCTTTACCTAAGTTCAAGGTCATAGGAATCAAATTTGCTTGAAAACTCCAACGTTTCCTTCTGCTCCACCTAAAAGACATTGGATCATAATACTCAGCTGAAAGTTTCATGTGATGACAAAGATTTCCAAAAGAAATGACCTTGACCACTATTTTTTATGACCTTTTATTTCAAATTTTCTTTTTATTATTCTGAGTTAGACAAGGTACAGTTGTGTTGATTCATTATAATGTTTAGATAATATACAGACCTTGACTATTCTTATTGCTGATCAGTATTAAGGCTGAGATATTGATTTTGTAGACGGCAAGAATAACATCTTTGATGTTGATTAATGTTATAAAAGTGAGTGTGTAGGACTGCTGCACTGCCAGTTCTGGTGATAGCCTAGGACATGGTCAGCCATTAGAGGTATGGAGACATTGTTTAGACAGCAATGGTCATTAGTGGTCAAGATTCTGTAAGGATTGATCTGTTGGTGTCTCTAGAACATAAACTTTATATGTGTAACTATCATTGTGATTATTAGTCTTCCTAGCTTGGTCATTAACTAGCAATTTTTGTAACCTTCTACAGAACAAATTGAATTATTTGTATAGCTGATGGGAAAATGTTGTAAAATATGATGTAACAGAGATAAAAATCCATACTTCATGGCTTTGTTGTGGTGTATGTACTGAGGGTACCTGGGAGGCCGCCTACAAGGAAGGACACAAAACTAGGATTAGATGAGATTTAAATATTACTTAGATTCTGGTCCAGCTACTCTCTAGCAACTCATGGTTGGTTTACTCAAGCCATTTCAGTGTTGGTAGGGCTACTCTCTAGCAACTCATGGTTGGTTTACTCAAGCCATTTCAGTGTTGGTAGGGCTACTCTCTAGCAACTCATGGTTGGTTTACTGAAGCCATTTCAGTGTTGGTAGGGCTACTCTCTAGTAACTCAGTGTTGGTTGGATCAAGCCATTTCAGTGTTGGTAGGGCTACTCCATAGTAACTCAGTGTTGGTTGACTTAAGCCATTTCAGTGTTGGTCCAGCTACTCTCTAGCAACTCAATGTTGGTTACCTAAAGCCATTTCAGTGTTGGTCGGGCTACACTCTAGCAACTCAGTGTTGGTTGACTCAAGCCATTTCAGTGTTGGTAGGGCTACACTCTAGCAACTCAGTGTTGGTTGACTCAAGCCATTTCAGTGTTGGTAGGGCTACACTTTAGCAACTCATTGTTGGTTTACACAAGCCATTTCAGTGTTGGCAGGGCTACACTCTAGCAACTCATGGTTGGCTTACACAAGCCATTTCAGTGTTGGTAGGGCTACACTCTAGCAATTCAGTGTTGGTTGACTCAAGCCATTTTAGAGTTGGTAGGGCTACTCTCTAGTAACTCAGTGTTGGTTGGATCAAGCCATTTCAGTGTTGGTAGGGCTACTCTCTAGCAACTCAGTGTTGGTTGACTCCAGCCATTTCAGTGTTGGTAGGGCTACTCTCTAGCAACTCATGGTTGGTTTACACAAGCCATTCAGTGTTGGTAGGGCTACTCTCTAGTAACTCAGTGTTGGTTGACTCAAGCCATTTCAGTGTTGGTAGGGCTACTCTCTAGTAACTCAGTGTTGGTTGACTCAAGCCATTTCAGTGTTGGTCCAGCTACTCTCTAGCAACTCAATGTTGGTTTACTAAAACTATTTCAGTGTTGGTAGGTCTACTCTCTAGCAACTCATTGTTGGTTTACTAATGTCATTTCAGTGTTTACTCAAGTGTTTTCAGTGTTGGCCCAACTATTCTTTAGCAACACAGTGTAGGTTTAATAAAACAATTTTATTATTGATAAAAGCAGATCAGTGACAGTTTTAATAAATTTACTGAATTGTGAAGCATTGATCAGTGGGAGTGAATTGTGATGATGTGTATTGTAAGATACTGTACATGTTCTACGTAAATCTGTCAACTCAATCCATCTCACAACTCACTAGGGATATTTATCAACATCAGGCTGTATGCAAATTGTATACAGTTTTATATAACAGTGTCCTATCTAATTTGTACATGAAGAATATTTGCCATTGAAGACTTCTTTAATTCTGAAATTTTCAAATTTAAAATGAAAAAAGTGTAAAGTCAGATTTTGTAATTAAATTAAGTATAATCTCAAGAAGAGAAATCCATTTAGGAAATGTTAAATACACCTTAGGTACAGATAATAAAGCTCTCAAGTAGAATAAAAAGGGGAAATTCTTTGCAGATAGAATACATTTTTAGTAGAAGTACCATGTGAACTTCTTGTCATGTAGAGATACTGGTGAACTGCTTGGTCAACAGAAATACTCTTATAACTAGTAGGAACTTTTTATGAAATGTTCAGCAGGTAGTAATTCTTGTGAACTATTTTGCTAGTGGAAATTTTTATGAACTGTCTGGCTGGTAGAAATTCCTGAGAACTCTTTGACCAGTAGAAATATTGTTGAACTGCTTAGTCAGTAGAAGTACAGGTCATCCCTTTGGCCAGTAGAATTTTTTGTGAACTCCTCATTCAGTAGAAATACGAGTCAACTGTTTGGCTGGTAGAAATGTTTTTTTTAACCCCTTGGCCAGTAGAAATACGGATGAACTCCTTGGCCATGTTTAGATCAATATCTCGTCAGCTGTACACTGTATTGATTACACGATGTTGATAGCCTGAACTCCAGGTACATATACCATGTGGGTCGGCACCAAGCCGTCTCCCTCTACCTTCTGTAGACACTCGATGGTTTTGTGATTACTTTCTCTTTGAGATAGTGAAAGCTGCTTGGATATATAGAAATGTTGATTGTACCTTCGGACTACAGTTAAAACTCCTATCAGTGTATTGGGGTGTCTCCCTACAATCTCCCTGCTTTCCTTGCTGCCAGCACTGCTGCTGCTGCCAGCAATGATAATGATGATGGGAGAAGGGTTCTGTTTTTGAAGGGACAGCAAACTTTCACTGCTGTGGAAGATAACTAGAACAGCAGCTAATTTTAGAAATTCGGCAGAGCTTGTGCCTGTATGGAGGTGCTGCCTGCGTACTGAGTGAAAGGAAATCTCTCATTCATACATACGCGGACTGACTGGCAGGGTGAGAACAAGGCACCAACATAAGAAGCCAAAACTGGCTTCTCTACTAGTGAGGGGACGACCATGGTTAAAGGGCCAACACTTTCGAATATGTCTCTCTGTGGGTTTTTTATGTAACGCTTGGAACAAAGCAACTAGAACCTTGTTGTACAAAAGTAAACTGACCATGCTGGCACCAGCAATACAGGTGTATTCTGACGACACTGGCATCAGGCATCCATGTCTGGAATAGTGTATTTGTGGTCACAACTTTATTACTAGAACAAAATTGGTTCAATTCTCTAAGGTGGCCATGTTTGATGTTTATTACAGAAAGCAGTTTATCTGGTCTACACGGATTTAACCAGCAGCTGCTTCAACAGAGGGACAGTAACAGAAACACTTTAATAGCACAGGTAAGTCCACATCTATTATTTCACCTTATATGTTATTGGTGCTCCATACGGCAGTCTTTGGTCCTATCTTACAAACTGTTCTATCCTTTTATGTTATTTTTTGCTTCCATTTCTAATGCTTTATTTCAGAAACAGTTGAAATGTAGAAGTATTCAGAAAATCCACACTAAAGGAATTTGATTAATTCTTTTTTATGGACTTATCTATAAAACATAGTAGAACTGGAGTTGTTACAGTCCTGAAGTATTAACTATAGTAGAACTGGAGTTGTTACAGTCCTGAAGTATTAAGTATAGTAGAACTGGAGTTGTTACAGTCCTGAAGTATTAAATACAGTAGAACTGGAGTTGTTACAGTCCTGAAGTATTAAATACAGTAGAACTGGAGTTGTTACAGTCCTGAAGTATTAAATACAGTAGAACTGGAGTTGTTACAGTCCTGAAGTATTAAATACAGTAGAACTGGAGTTGTTACAGTCCTGAAGTATTAACTATAGTAGAACTGGAGTTGTTACAGTCCTGAAGTATTAAATACAGTAGAACTGGAGTTGTTACAGTCCTGAAGTATTAAATATAGTAGAACTGGAGTTGTTACAGTCCTGAAGTATTAAATACAGTAGAACTGGAGTTGTTACAGTCCTGAAGTATTAACTATAGTAGAACTGGAGTTGTTGCAGTCCTGAAGTATTAAGTATAGTAGAACTGGAGTTGTTACAGTCCTGAAGTATTAAATACAGTAGAACTGGAGTTGTTACAGTCCTGAAGTATTAAATATAGTAGAACTGGAGTTGTTACAGTCCTGAAGTATTAAATACAGTAGAACTGGAGTTGTTACAGTCCTGAAGTATTAACTATAGTAGAACTGGAGTTGTTACAGTCCTGAAGTATTAAATACAGTAGAACTGGAGTTGTTACAGTCCTGAAGTATTAAATATAGTAGAACTGGAGTTGTTACAGTCCTGAAGTATTAAATACAGTAGAACTGGAGTTGTTACAGTCCTGAAGTATTAGATATAGTAGAACTGGAGTTGTTGCAGTCCGGAAGTATTAACTATAGTAGAACTGGAGTTGTTGCAGTCCGGAAGTATTAAATATAGTAGAAATGGAGTTATTACAGGTTAGTAGAAGAACTGGAGTTGTTACAGTCCTGAAGTATTAGATACAGATATAGTAAGTATTAAGAGACTGGAGTTGTTACACTGGAGTTGTTACAGTCCTGAAGTATTAAATAAGTATTAAATAGTAGAACTGGAGTTGTTACAGTCCTGAAGTATTAAATACAGTAGAACTGGAGTTGTTACAGTCCTGAAGTATTAAATATAGTAGAACTGGAGTTGTTACAGTCCTGAAGTATTAAATACAGTAGAACTGGAGTTGTTACAGTCCTGAAGTATTAAATACAGTAGAACTGGAGTTGTTACAGTCCTGAAGTATTAAATACAGTAGAACTGGAGTTGTTACAGTCCTGAAGTATTAAATACAGTAGAACTGGAGTTGTTTACAGTCCTGAAGTATTAAATATAGTAGAACTGGAGTTGTTACAGTCCTGAAGTATTAAATACAGTAGAACTGGAGTTGTTACAGTCCTGAAGTATTAGATATAGTAGAACTGGAGTTGTTACAGTCCTGAAGTATTAACTATAGTAGAACTGGAGTTGTTACAGTCCTGAAGTATTAAATACAGTAGAACTGGAGTTGTTACAGTCCTGAAGTATTAAATATAGTAGAACTGGAGTTGTTACAGTCCTGAAGTATTAAATACAGTAGAACTGGAGTTGTTACAGTCCTGAAGTATTAAATACAGTAGAACTGGAGTTGTTACAGTCCTGAAGTATTAAATATAGTAGAACTGGAGTTGTTACAGTCCTGAAGTATTAAATACAGTAGAACTGGAGTTGTTACAGTCCTGAAGTATTAACTATAGTAGAACTGGAGTTGTTACAGTCCTGAAGTATTAAATATAGTAGAACTGGAGTTGTTACAGTCCTGAAGTATTAAATACAGTAGAACTGGAGTTGTTACAGTCCTGAAGTATTAAATACAGTAGAACTAGAACTAGGAGTTGTTACAGTCCTGAAGTATTAAATACAGTAGAACTGGAGTTGTTACAGTCCTGAAGTATTAAATACAGTAGAACTGGAGTTGTTACAGTCCTGAAGTATTAAATACAGTAGAACTGGAGTTGTTACAGTGTAGTAAAAGAACTGGAGTTGTCACTGTGTAGTAGAAGAACTGGAGTTGTTACAGTCATGAAGTATTAACTATAGTAAAACTGGAGTTGTTACAGTTTTGAAGGGCACTACACATTACTCCTGTAAGGAAACATTTTTCATCAAAATTGAGCACATAATTACAGTGTTGTGTTTTTCTGCCCTGTTGTTTTAATAATAGTGAGGAAGGTCTGACACAGATCTTATCTTATGATGTGGCAGCCCCTGCTTTAGCTACATGTTGCAATTAATATCCTCATGCAGGTGTGCATCTTGGAAGTTAAGCCTCAGTTTTTAGTCAGACCTCATTAGATGTTAATGAATAGAACATATTTAGAATTGTGTTTCTCATCTGTATTTTTCAGTTCTAGTACAAACAACTGTACCACCTGTAGAGTACAGGTGTAATTTGTGATGTATTACAATTTGTTACCTGTATTTACTGACTGAGATTACATGTTATGTCACAGATTCAGTACCTGTATATCACAGATGTTTGTAGCTGAATTTACTGACTGATGTTAAATAGGTATATTACAGATTTTGGTACCTGTATTAATGACTCAGTTATACAGGTATATTACAGATTTTGGTACCTGTATTTATTGACTGAGGTTATACAGGTATATTACAGATTTTGGTACCTGTATTAATGACTGAGGTTATACAGGTATATTACAGATTTTGGTACCTGTATTAATGACTGAGGTTATACAGGTATATTACAGATTTTGGTACCTGTATTAATGACTGAGGTTATACAGGTATATTACAGATTTTGGTACCTGTATTAATGACTGAGGTTATACAGGTATATTACAGATTTTGGTACCTGTATTAATGACTGAGGTTATACAGGTATATTACAGATTTTGGTACCTGTATTAATGACTGAGGTTATACAGGTATGTTACAGATTTTGGTACCTGTATTAATGACTGAGGTTATACAGGTATGTTACAGATTTTGGTACCTGTATTAATGACTGAGGTTATACAGGTATGTTACAGATTTTGGTACCTGTATTAATGACTGAGGTTATACAGGTATATTACAGATTTTGGTACCTGTATTAATGACTGAGGTTATACAGGTATGTTACAGATTTTGGTACCTGTATTAATGACTGCGGTTATACAGGTATATTACAGATTTTGGTACCTGTATTAATGACTGAGGTTATACAGGTATATTACAGATTTTGGTACCTGTATTAATGACTGAGGTTATACAGGTATATTACAGATTTTGGTACCTGTATTAATGACTGCGGTTATACAGGTATGTTACAGATTTTGGTACCTGTATTAATGACTGAGGTTATACAGGTATGTTACAGATTTTGGTACCTGTATTAATGACTGAGGTTATACAGGTATGTTACAGATTTTGGTACCTGTACTTATTGACTGAGGTTATACAGGTATATTACAGATTTAGGTAACTGTATTTACCAACTGAGATATTACAGGTAATTTAAAACAGATCTTGTTATCTGTATTTACTGACTGAAGGACCTGAAGGGCCATGTGAGCTAATGGCAACCTGCAGTTGTCGGACAGTGTGGATTTTGACCAAATTTGGTCGAAAGTAAGTACCCTTGGACAATTATTGGGTGAAGGAGAATCGAATTGGTCTCGGCTTTCTGGGGTAGGAGAGGTGGGGCCCAATAGTGCAATTGAGCAAATTATTCAAAATGCTTCTTCTTGATCAGGATAGTTTGAATTATTCTGATGTTCTATCAACTTATATATATATATCAGCTTGGAGTCAATAAACATCAGAATTTTGTCCCTATAAAAAGTGAGAGAAATAAGTGACCCATGCATGTGTTGGCATTCAAACAATAGATGTGAAAGTAATCATTACTTTCATAGCATATTGCACATAGATCGAAAGGTCTGTTCTTTATCTACAGTATTTCCAAATATTTATACCTATGCGCTCTCGAAACGTACATTTTCCCCACCTTGCTCTGTTTTAGTTTACATTTGTGCTAGCCACACTTCTAGTCACATAACATAGTCTCACCAGCTTCATCTGATGGCAACTTTCAGCCCACCATCAACCATCTTAAGATTTTGGAACAGATCAGAAAATGAGAATAGGTAACAGGCTGCCATCTTGGATTTTGACTGTGAAAGTTCGTTATCATTATTTCTTTAGAAATACTTGGTAGGTCTCTTTCAAATTCCATACATAGTTTCCCTTGGGTCCCTTGTTGTGTATCCTTGATTTTGGGACTTATTGGATAATAAAAATGGTGATTAGAATTTGACAAAGAAAGATTCAGATTTCTCAAATTTCATATTTCAATTGTTTAATGTCAGAAGTGATCAAATTGGTGGTAAGGTGGCAATCTTTGATTTTGATCTTTGTTATTGCTGTAATTCCTAGAAATATTGGAAATGTATTTTTTTTCCAATTTCATAGGTAGATTTTTCTCAGCACCAAGTCTAATATCCAAAATCCTTCATTATTTGTTCACAGATAAAATATTGTTGATTACCCTCCAGACCCATAGTTTTGCAATAAAGGATGACAGGAGAAATTAAGAACATAAAGGAGAGTAAAGAAGGGATGTGATGTAATTTATATAGGATAACTTAAGATCACGCAATGTCTAAGAGTCAAGTTTCTTCAGGATTTCTTGTTACAATAAAGTACATCCACAATTTCTCTCAGTCTTTATAGTTTAATGGCTAAGGAAAACTTGGTTTGTTTACTGGTTTTTAAATTTAAAAATAGCAGCAGTTGTCGGTACCGTCTTAATTTATACTCTCTTGTTGAC